CCCCCAGTGGCTGGTCTCGTTACTTTCCCCAGTGGCTGGTCTCGTTACTTCCCCCAGTGGCTGGTCTCGTTAACTTTCCCCAGTGGCTGGTCTCGTTAACTTTCCCCAGTGGCTGGTCTCGTTAACTTTCCCCAGTGGCTGGTCTCGTTAACTTTCCCCAGTGGTTGGTCTCGTTACTTCCCCCAGTGGCTGGTCTCGTTAACTTTCCCTAGTGGTTGGTCTCGTTAACTTTCCCCAGTGGTTGGTCTCGTTAACTTTCCCCAGTGGTTGATCTCGTTAACTTTCCCCAGTGGCTGGTCTCGTTACTTCCCCAGTGGTTGATCTCGTTAACTTTCCCCAGTGGTTGGTCTCGTTAACTTTCCTCAGTGGCTGATCTCGTTAACTTTCCCCAGTGGCTGGTCTCGTTAACTTTCCCCAGTGGCTGGTCTCGTTAACTTTCCCCAGTGGTTGGTCTCGTTAACTTTCCCCAGTGACTGGTCTCGTCACTTTTCCCAGTGGTTGGACTCGTTACTTTCTCTGACCACTGCTAAGCCTCTCGTCTCAGTTGCTCATAATGTCTACAAGTGTTTATCTCCTTGGCGAGACATGACCAATAGAGCTGTTGTGAGACGCAGAGCATCACGTTGGTATTATGCCTGAGACACTGAGCTAGAGACAAGGGGCCAATTAAGTCCATCTTCCGTGACGAGAGATCACTTCATGGCTTGTTTGTGTTGACATATAGTAGGACTTAAATTGTGTGTGTGTGTGTGTGTGTGTGTGTGTGTGTGTGTGTGTGTGTGTGTGTGTGTGTGTGTGTGTGTGTGTGTCATTCTACCTGTATTATGCATGTAATTATGCCTGTATTATGGCCTGTATGCGTTGTGTATTGTGTATATGGTGTTTGATGCCTGTAAGACGATTGGATCTTGCTGTTCGCGTAGACAGAAACTGGCATAGAAAGGGTGTGTGTGAACGTAGAAATATAGGTAATAGTTCAGTGGGTTGTTTCAAGCGTAGGTTAGACATGCATGTAGATGAGTTCGGGTGGGTATCAGTTATCGAAATAAGAAAATATTATATAACAAATACACCTAATTCTCACCCCCCCCCCCCCCCCACTCCTTCCCCTTTCTCATATATTAAGACGAATACATTGCCACTGCTACATTTAGTAGTTGAACTTGTCTCCAATAGGTGTCCCTCTAACAAGCATGGAGTGCCAGGCACACTCACCCAGGCCTGGCACTCCCGAAATATGTCTCACGATGCTTGGCACTTGGGATGGTTCGGGCACTAAGTTATAGATGACACTGGATGGTTGGCACTGGATTCTGGTTATCTGTTCAATAAATTGCTTCTACATATGCCACAGGACAGAGGTGCCAAATTCCTGGCCGGTGCCAGTAGTTCGTTATATTCGGCATGTCTCCGTTGAAGGGAGTTCTGACGAATATCTGAATCAAGATATTATTTATTGCTATTGCAAAGAAGACTCCTCCATCATTGAGAACATATTAATATTCGTGTGTTATAGATCATCATCAGTCATCAACGTGGATTCATTTTCATTTCATTTATGTATTATGTACCCCTCATACCCATCCCGTGGGCGGTGGTGGACCCTCATACCCATCCCGTGGGCGGTGGTGGACCCTCATACCCATCCCGTGGGCGGTGGTGGACCCTCATACCCATCCCGTGGGCGGTGGTGGTCCCTATGCCCATTCCGTGGGCGGTGGTGGTCCCTATGCCCATTCCGTGGGCGGTGGTGGACCCTCATACCCATCCCGTGGGCGGTGGTGGACCCTCATACCCATCCCGTGGGCGGTGGTGGACCCTCATACCCATCCCGTGGGCGGTGGTGGACCCTCATACCCATCCCGTGGGCGGTGGTGGACCCTCATACCCATCCCGTGGGCGGTGGTGGACCCCATACCCATCCCGTGGTGGACCCCATCACCCTCAACCCATCCCGTGGGCGGTGGTACCCATCCCGTGGGCGGTGGTGGACCCCATACCCATCCCGTGGGTGGTGGTGGACCCCATACCCATCCCGTGGGCGGTGGTGGACCCCATACCCATCCCGTGGGTGGTGGTGGACCCCATACCCATCCCGTGGGCGGTGGTGGACCCTCATACCCATCCCGTGGGCGGTGGTGGACCCCATACCCATCCCGTGGGCGGTAGTGGACCCCATACCTATCACGTGGGCGGTGGTGGACCTCATACCCATCCCGTGGGCGGTAGTGGACCCCATATCCATCCCGTGGGCGGTGGTGGACCCCATACCCATCCCATGGGCGGTGGTGGACCCCATACCCATCCCGTGGGCGGTGGTGGACCCCATATCTATCCCGTGGGCGGTAGTGGACCTCATACCCATCCCGTGGGCGGTGGTGGACCCCATACCCATCCCGTGGGCGGTGGTGGACCTCATACCCATCCCGTGGGCGGTGGTGGACCCTCATACCCATCCCGTGGGCGGTGGTGAACCTCATACCCATCCTGTGGGCGGTGGTGGACTCTCATACCCAACCCGTGGGCGGTGGTGGACCCTCATACTCATCCCGTGGGCGGTGGTGGACCCCATACCCATCCCGTGGGCGGTGGTGGACCCCATACCCATCCCGTGGGCGGTGGTGGACCCCATACCCATCCCATGGGCGGTGGTGGACCCCATACCCATCCCGTGGGCGGTAGTGGACCCCATACCTATCACGTGGGCGGTGGTGGACCCCATACCCATCCCGTGGGCGGTGGTGGACCCTCATACCCATCCCGTGGGCGGTGGTGGACCCCATACCCATCCCATGGGCGGTGGGGGACCCCATACCCATCCCGTGGGCGGTGGTGGACCCCATACCCATCCCGTGGGCGGTGGTGGAAAGCCTTTTCTTTGCTGAACCCACAGCAAAGATTCAGCAAGGGAAAAAAATCTTGTTTAACCAACGTCAAGCAAGACAAGATGACAACAATCAAACAGCATAGAGAGGACTGGGACAGATTGCATTTTCCTGGATTGTCAGAAAGTTTTTGACATTGTTCCTCACATGCCAATCTCATGTCGACTCCAAAAACAGACTGGTGTATCAGGGAAAGTGCTAAAGTGGGAGTGCTAAAGTGCTAAAGCCACGAGTGGAGTACCTGAAGGGTAGGGATTAGGGCCCATCCGATTCTTAATACAGTTTATGCAAACGATCTAAGAGAGAAATTAGACTCATTGTGATCCATGTTTGTTGACGATGCTAAGCTAATGAGACGAATCAGAACTGAGGAAGATTGCAGGACCTTTCAAGATGAACTACGCAATCTCCAAAGATAGTCTGAGAAATGGCTACTAGACTTTAAGCTTGACAAATGTAAGGTTATGAGGAGTAGGAGTTCAAGTAAGACGACCTCAGATACAGTACAAGATGAAGGGAAAGTAACTTTCAACTCCAGAAAAGAACTTCAGGCCCTCAGACCTTCAAGGAACGGGAGACAGACTTATCTGGGCCGAAACGATAAAAAAAGCATTGTTGGAGACTTCAAGTATTGAATAATTGATTGGAACTCAAGAACCTAAAATTAATTATCAGAGAAATTTCTGTAGAGGTGTCGATAACTGCTTCCTGCTCCGACTTGTATTAATACACCTATCAGGAATTACTGTATCCTGGATCTCGTTACTGTATCCTGGACCTCGGTACTGTATCCTGGACCTCGGTACTGTATCCTGGACCTCGGTACTGTATCCTGGACCTCGGTACTGTATCCTGGACCTCGGTACTGTATCCTGGATCTCGGTACTGTATCCTGGACCTCGTTACTGTATCCTGAACCTCGGTACTGTATCCTGGACCTCGTTACTGTATCCTGGACCTCGGTACTGTATCCTGGACCTCGGTACTGTATCCTGGATCTCGGTACTGTATCCTGGACCTCGTTACTGTATCCTGGACCTCGGTACTGTATCCTGGACCTCGTTACAGTATCCTGAACCTCGTTACAGTATCCTGAACCTCGTTACTGTATCCTGGACCTCGTTACTGTATCCTGAACCTCGTTACTGTATCCTGGACCTCGTTACTGTATCCTGGACCTCGTTACTGCATCCTGGACCTCGTTACTGTATCCTGGACCTCGTGCTGGCAAAAAAAAGGACAATACAGCGCAGCCTCGACTCAATATGAGACCAATTTCGACATCAATGATGTCGAAATCGGGAATTGGGTGGTAAAGCTCCGCTGGAGATTACAGTTGGGATTATGTAAAAGCAGATTATCTATAAACAAGAATACCAGGGGTCCTGGATTTTTTAAATGCAAACTACGACCCTGCGAGAGTCGAGCTAACAAAGGCAGAGAAGGAAAACCGGTTCAGATCCAACCTGGGACGAGGAAGGGATTTGTTGATGGTGTTACCACAATATAGGGGTCAATACACCACCCCCTCACAGCGTTGGTCATATTGACCCCAGGGAAAGCAATATCCTTAACCAATTGTGTCATTCGGATAATGGAATAAGAGAGTAAAGTAAGCGCGTGATAGGACAGTGACTTCGTATATAAAGGACAGTGACTTCGTATATAAAGGACAGTGACTTCGTATATAAAGGACAGTGACTTCGTGTATAAAGGACAGTGACTTCGTGTATAAAGGACAGTGACTTCGTATATAAAGGACAGTGACTTCGTATATAAAGGACAGTGACTTCGTGTATAAAGGACAGTGACTTCGTATATAAAGGACAGTGACTTCGTATATAAAGGACAGTGACTTCGTATATAAAGGACAGTGACTTCGTATATAAAGGACAGTGACTTCGTATATAAAGGACAGTGACTTCGTGTATAAAGGACAGTGACTTCGTGTATAAAGGACAGTGACTTCGTATATAAAGGACAGTGACTTCGTGTATAAAATATCAAAGTCCTTGTTATTAAATCTTTGGGGGAATTTTATATAGGACTTGAAACTGGCGCTGAATCATGGAAATAAAAAAAAAGAGTATATTAAGCCAGAAATGTAAAGTCACTTCACTTGGCTTGACCACACTTGGCCTGGCCACACTTGGCTTGACCACACTTGGCTTGACCACACTTGGCTTGACCACACTTGGCCTGGCCACACTTGGCTTGACCACACTTGGCCTGGCCACACTTGGCTTGACCACACTTGGCTTGACCACACTTGGCCTGGCCACACTTGGCTTGACCACACTTGGCTTGACCACACTTGGCCTGGCCACACTTGGCTTGACAACACTTGGCTTGATCACACTTGGCCTGGCCACACTTGGCTTGACCACACTTGGCCTGGCCACACTTGGCCTAGCCACACTTGGCTTGACCACACTTGGCTTGACCACACTTTGATGAAGGCTTGGCAAGAGTCACGCTTCTACAAACTCCCCCATCTCCACTGTTGTGTCAATAGTGTGTCTAACTTACCCTAACCTGCCCCTAACCTAACCTTCCCTACCTTACCTAGTCTTACATCAACTGTACAACAGCAGCCGCTTTCAGTTATGCCATTACAACACCTGCCGCCAAAAGGATGTGTGTGTGTGTGTGTGTGTGTGTGTGTGTGTGTGTGTGTGTGTGTGTGTGTGTGTGTGTGTGTGTGTGTGTGTGTGTTACAGGGGAGTGTAGCCCACTGCCACAATTGCAATGGGGGGGCGGGGTTAAATTACCGTGGAGACTTTGTCTTCCGAAAGCACTCTGATACCCTTGTTAATATGCAGGCGTCACGCTGATTGGCTGTGAGTGTTGTGTGTGGTTGGGGGGGGGTAGGGTAGGGGGGTGATAGTGGTGATGGTGGTGAGGGAGATTGAATTTGACGGATTGACTTGACGGATCCTGCTCCTAAACAAGGCGAGCTGAAATAGCTGTGAATTCAGTCGTTACCTACAAGATATGTGTGTTCAGCTATGGCAAGGTGAACCGGTTCGTGTCATGTATTGAACGTAATGAACCGTATAATATGGCAAGCTGAACCACCACTGGGTTCTATCCCAGGCGCCGGCGAGAAACAATGGGCAGAGTTTCGTTCACCCTATGCCCCTGTTACCTAGCAGTAAAATAGGTACCTGGGTGTTAGCCAGCTGTCACGGGCTGCTTCCTGGGGGTGGAGGCCTGGTCGAGGACCGGGCCGCGGGGACACTAAAAGCCCCGAAATCATCTCAAGATAACCACCACGTGCCACGAACAGCGTATCTTAGAGCCAAGCACTACAAGGGCAGACAGGGAAACAGAAGACAATAGTGATAGACGAACCAGTTTGAGACCGAACATTACCGTCTGCCATTCGGTGCCGGGGACTCATGAATCATATATACGGTGTTCGTTTACGAAACCTGTGCATCTTTCCTCGATCATAACCGGTTAGAATATATATTATACAGTTGAAAAGCGCCTGAAGCACCGTTCACAACTCAATGGTGTTGTTGTTGTTATAAACTACCACGTATAACACTTCGAGGCGGATCATAAACTACTTAAAATATGCAAACTATATCAACCGCTATGATCGAAAATGATGCACAGGTTTCGTAAGCGGACACATTACGAAATCTTGGATGATTGCGGGATGAATCTTGGTCCCGGTGTTGGCAAGCGATGCTGTGGATTCACACTTCACCCGTGCAAAATTTGGTGTTATATTTTGCATTCCACTTACGGAATCTTGACTTTTACAATGGCAAGTTATAGATTTTTCGTGTATTTTGAAAAAAAGACCATTTAACCCCAAACATCTTTATTGGTTCTGAGTAAAAGTTTGCAATTTAATGCAAAATATAGCACAGGATCCTGTGTGTGTGTGAGGGATTAATTGCGCTTTACCACATTCATGACTGCCAAGGGAAAAAAATTACTTAATTTATGGAAATAATTTAGCACTCTACAATTTATAATCGCATTTCTCTTAATTTATTCGTTAATTAAAACAACACACACTTGGGAATGTATGTATTAGGGGTGTTTTTCATTCGGCTTTCGTAAGGTAATATATAAGTAGGATTATTCTGGCTGGACGAGGCATTTTAGACACGTAGATTGACAACAGTCATATGTTGTCATATATGACTGAACCGACGTACAGCTTCAGGCTATGTTGTCATATATGACTGAACCGACGTACAGCTTCAGGCTATGTTGTCATATATGACTGAACCGACGTACAGCTTCAGGCTATGTTGTCATATATGACTGAACCGACGTACAGCTTCAGGCTATGTTGTCACATATGCCTGTACCGACGTACAGCTTCACGCTATGTTGTCATGCTGCGCCTCATGACAGGGGGGAAGCAGCGTGAACGTGAGATGCTTGTACATGGGTGCTGTGTTCCTTGGTGGGATCTCTGACCTCTGACCTTTTGGTGGCTCTGATGGCCTTTCGGCGCAGTTAACGCGAATATCCAAGTACAATTACACCTCTAATGTACTTAACGCTGTCTAAATACACTTACACCTATAATGTACTTAAGGCTAATCTAAATACACTTACATCTGACTGTGGTCTGAATGTGGCCACGTGCGTCCTGAATGTGGTCTGAATGTGGGCCACGTGCGTCCTGACTGTCTGAATGTGGCCACATTCAACTCGTTATTCAGGTGTTGTAGAGAAAACACGATTTCACATGATACGTTCACGAGCGCAATTCACTATCAACTCGACTTAAGATCTGCGGCTGCTTTACGTTTTTCCCACGAGTTGACTTGAGTTTAATTGTCATTGGTGAATATCTAACCAGATACATACGAACGTAAACAATCCTAATTTGATGGAGATTGATTCTCCGTACTCAGAATAAGCGTTAAATCACTATATGCTATTACCATTTAGCGTAATAATTTTACTCTAAACAATTGATATAAATTGATTAAGTTTAAACAGAGGATAGACCTGGGTAAATACTGGTTTAGAAACAGGCATGTTTATGGGGACAAATTACTAAGATAACAGATATGGTATCGCTGTATTATATCAAGCGCAGGTTAGACCTATGTAGGAATGAGTCAAGAGTGGATACAAAATTGGTCAGTATAGGTCTTTTTTGTGGTTGTCTGAATTCTTATTTTCTGCTGGGTTGTGTCTGCTGGGGTAGCGTCTGCTGGGTTGTGTCTGCTGGGTTGTGTCTGCTGGGTTGTGTCTGCTGGGTTGTGTCTGCTGGGTTGTGTCTGCTGGGTTGTGTCTGCTGGGGTAGCGTCTGCTGGGTTGTGTCTGCTGGGTTGTGTCTGCTGGGTTGTGTCTGCTTGGGTAGCGTCTGCTGGGTTGTGTCTCCTGGGGTAGCGTCTGCTGGGTTGTGTCTGCTGGGGTAGCGTCTGAGAATGAGGCTTGACGAGCGGTTGTACACTCTTAAGAACCACTGGTTCTTGGTCCTGAGAACCACTGGTTAACCATCTTGCTAGGTTCTTGCACCAGAGAACGTAGCGTACCTTATGACCTCAAATACCACACCAAGACTCTTCAATAACGTAATTATATCTTGAGTTTTACGAAGCGAAATGTGGCGATAGACAATTTTGGCTTCAAGCATGACGATGTGGAACTTAGTCGAACAGCAGTTTGCTGGACGTGTGAACGACACTGATGGTAGGTGAGAGGCAGTTGTGAATGTCAGAGAAATCTGATTGATGTCTGGGATTATGAGTGCAGCCTGAATCCTGAGTCATTCACTCTTCCAGAGTGGTAGATTCTGATGCTTGAAATGGATATTTGTAAGGTCGGTATTGAATGCCGGTCTTTATACACGATAAAGACCTTATTTAAAGACCTTAATGTCACGATATTAATCTTAAATATTTTGCCTAATAAGAGGGACGACCTTTCATGGTCATTTTACACTTCAACTGACCTTATTTATTTATCTTAATATTAAAGAGGCGCTGGATAATACCTACAGATCAACGCTACAGGATGGGATAATATCAACAGATCAACGCAATAAATATCTTTGTACCCGCTACCTATTGTTAAAGATTCGCTACCTGGAACAAGAAGTTCCAAGTAGCACGGGCTATGGTGAGCCCCGTCTTCTCTACCCGCCGCCGCCGCGGCAAATAAGACACTGGCGTTGTAATATCATCGTGAGATATGCATTAGCCCCGTCCTCCTGAGGTGCCCCCAACGTCCAGAAACTGGCGTACTAAAGTGCCCCCTTATCTTACCGGACCTGAGGACCTAAAACAGAAAACGGGAGGTTATCTTGAGATGATTTCGGGGCTTTAGTGTCCCCGCGGCCCGGTCCTCGACCAGGCCTCCACCCCCAGGAAGCAGCCCGTGACAGCTGACACCCAGGTACCTATTGTACTGCTAGGTAACAGGGGCATAGGGTGAAAGAAACTCTGCCCATTGTTTCTCGTCGGCGCCCGGAATCGAACCCAGGACCACAGGATCACAAGTCCAGCGTGCTATCCGCTTGGCCGACCGGCTCCCTGGACGGTATATTACGCGAACTACTTCTACCCCTCTTTTCTAGTACAAAGATCTTTGGTCTTAGGTAAGTTATACGTCAAAATATGACGTTCTACTAGGAGGACGGGTTGCATCGTGAGAGAGTGATGCCTCGACGCGTTTATTTGGACGAGAAGAAATATTTTCTACGCGGTAAACATGTCCCCCCGCGAGTGTCTCTCTCTCTCTTTTACTAATTCCGAGCATTAGTAAAATACCGAGCATTAGTAAAATACCGAGCATTAGTAAAATACCGAGCATTAGTAAAATACCGAGCATTAGTAAAATACCGAGCATTAGTAAAATACCGAGCATTAGTAAAATACCGAGCATTAGTAAAATACCGAGCATTAGTAAAATACCGAGCATCAGAAAAATACCGAGCATCAGAAAAATACCGAGCATCAGAAAAATACCGAGCATCAGAAAAATACCGAGCATTAGAAATATACCGAGCATTAGTAAAATACCGAGCATTAGTAAAATAGCGAGCATTAGTTAAATTCCGAGCAATAGTAAAATACCGAGCATCAGTAAAATACCGAGCATTAGAAAAATACCGAGCATCAGAAAAATACCGAGCATTAGTAAAATACCGAGCATTAGAAATATACCGAGCATTAGTAAAATACCGAGCATTAGAAATATACCGAGCATTAGTAAAATACCGAGCATTAGAAATATACCGAGCATTAGTAAAATACCGAGCATTAGAAATATACCGAGCATTAGTAAAATACCGAGCATTAGAAATATACCGAGCATTAGTAAAATACCGAGCATTAGAAATATACCGAGCATTAGTAAAATACCGAGCATCAAAAAAATACCAAGCATTAGAAGTCCAATTTGACGGTTTCAGTCATTGCCCAAACGCTTTAGCCAGGGGGCGGTAAGTGTGCCTGGATATTCACAAGTTACTCCCAGCAAGTTACTCCTTTGGTGAGAGGCAGTTGCTCCTGCTGCCCCATTTAAGGCAGTTTGACCAACTTGGAAATAAAAAAATAAAAAAATTCCTTGATAGGAGAGGCAGTTTAGACCACAGTGTTGATTATACGGGATGTTGTTGTATTTGACGGTCTGTGGAATGTATTTCTGATTGTATTGTTTGAGCTTCCCCATCCCCCGTCACGTGCTGTTAACCACCACTAAGATGGGTTGACTGCTTCTCACGAGTATAAGGAAGAAGATCATCTTGCACCTCTGCATGAGGCGAATGTCTTACCTAATTATAGAACCATTTGAAAGCACTTGAGGGGGGCCAGATGTCCTTTAATCTGTAAAGGTGTTTATAAGGAGAAAGCACCAAGTCTGTATGCCTATATAACACTTGGAAAGTTGTGTGTGTGTGTGTGTGTGTGTGTGTGTGTGTGTGTGTGTGTGTGTGTGTGTGTGTACTCACCTAGTTGTGGTTGCGGGGGTTGAGCTTTGGCTCTTTGGTCCCGCCTCTCAACCGTCAATCAGTTGATTAACGGTTGAGAGGCGGGGACCAAAGAGCCAAAGTGTGTGTGTGTGTGTGTAGTGATAGTCGTGTATAGTGAGAAGCAAAGCTTCACATGTTGTGAGACAGGTGTTTTAGTAAATATTGACTCTGTACGTACAGTGTCTTAGTGTTTAAAACACCCCCCTATGACGTTTGAACTTGAGGGAGGGGGGAGGGAGGGGAAGAAGATATTAGATGTATCTACATATGTGTTAGCTAGCTAAGGATAGTTACATTCTAACCATCTTGCAGACGAAGCGCAACAGCCAGCAAACTGACCCAGCCACCCTATGGCCAGGCTGGATCAGGCTATGGTGGACCTGATGTAACGCAACCACCTCACTCTCAGCTATATATATTCATCACCTAAATTGTATCCAGCGGTCCTCTGTCGATGACAATGTTGACAGGATCAGCGAGACACATCTCGGACCATAATTACACTATTACATCAACTGGGAGAGAGAGTTTTAGTGTTCAACTTTTTTCTCAGGCGAAGAACATGAGAAATAGAGAGGATTCGTGCTCGTATCATTGAGACTTTTATAGTCAATAATATATGTACAAGACTGTTACCGAAATGTAATATATATATATATATATATATATATATATATATATATATATATATATATATATATATATATATATGAAGCATATAATGTTTTACTGTTGTAGTAATATATATTTTTTTTCCTTCCAGGTAAGTGGTGATTGGGCGACACCGAGCACCGATGGTTGTTATTGGTCAAGTTGATGGGGGAGAAGGGGGGGGAGGGGTTTAGGGAGGGAGGGAATTATCAGTAGAAAGCGCCAAGCCACCACGCCTATATAGCACTTGGAAGGAGGGTCAGGATTAGGGATGGGACGGAGGAGGAGGGGAAGGAATGGTGCCTATAACCCCTTAGACGGTCGGGGATTGAACGCCGACCTGCATGAAGTGAGACCATCGCTCTACCGTCCAGCCCAAGTGGTTGGACATGGGAGAAGACACCAGTTCCACCAGCTACGAGTGGGAACCGAATACAATGCTTTGAAGTGAATACAATGCTTCAATACAATGAAGTGGGGAATACAATGCTTTCAACTTTTGTGTTGCACAGCCTGAAGGATGCGAATACCTGTCAACCAGTTGATTGATGGGTGAGAGGCGGGACCCAAGAGCTGAACCTAATTCCCTCCCAGGAGGCACAACTAAGAGAGCACTCAAATAGCCAAAATGGTATCAACTCGGACGATTGCAAATGCAATTGCAGGTCAAATAATCCACCATTGATTAGTAGTAAATGTGTGTTGAAACAGCAGTAATTAAAATACAATATTAATCAAAGCCTACAATAGATTATTTTCTAATTATGTGATGTTCTAGTATTGTTAGGAGGGGGGATGGTCATTGGGTAGTTAGTCGTGAATAATGTATCCCCCCCCCCCACCGTCTTGAACTACCCAAATCACAAAATGTCTGCCACACAGGACAGTGAGGATGGAGCTCATATTCACTGCCACACAGGACAGTGAGGATGGAGCTCATATTCACTGCCACACAGAACAGTGAGGATGCTGCTCATATTCACTGCCACACAGAACAGTGAGGATGGAGCTCATATTCACTGCCACACAGAACAGTGAGGATGCTGCTCATATTCACTGCCACACAGAACAGTGAGGATGCTGCTCATATTCACTGCCACACAGGACAGTGAGTTTAAAGTCTTATACAGCTCAAGAAACTACAGTCTGCTTCAACATACAATTTACATGCTTTAATTTCTACAGCGTCTTGTAGAATCGATCTCCGACAGTCGAAATGGTTGGGCACTGTTCATTCACTCGGTCCCCACATCCCTTAAAAGTGTTGCATAGTCATACTGGCTTAGCGCTTTCTCCTGATAGATACCTTACCATAGCGTGTTATAGTGGCTTTGCAATAATATAAGCACCCCAATGTACTCATACAAACCAAATGTATTTTGACCAGACCACACACTAGAAAGTGAAGGGACGACGACGTTCCGGTCCGTCCTGGACCATTCTCAAGTCGATTGTGTCGATTCTCAAGTCACAATCGACTTGAGAATGGTCCAGGACGGACCGAAACGTCGTCGTCCCGTCACTTTCTAGTGTGTGGTTTGGTCAACATATTTCAGCCACGTTATTGTGACTCCTCGTCTACAAACTCACTGTACCTTCTTATAAATAAAGACAAATAAATATTTGCCTATAGCCAAGTCTAAGTTGCACAACAACAAGACATTGCATAGTTCGATTATTGCACCAGCCTTGCAAACATTGCTTTAAATACTGCAAGTTTTAGGCTTTTCTCCCAGGGCATTTCTTAGTTATTTCAAGATCTAAAGTACATTGCATTTTCTTGCACTCGTATACATGTGGTCAGTATGTAGTCTGAACACATATTAAATCGTGTAAGCACTTGAGGCTTCGTGTCTGATTTTTACATGTCTTACGAGACATAATGAAATCATGTCTTCATCATGTCTTACGAGACATGATGAAGACATGTCTACATCATCATCCAGATGACAAGTTGCACTGTAATATTGTTAAATAATAAACCCTTATTTTACGGGCAATAAACGTCA